CACTCTCCTGGAGGTTAGCAGAAAAAGTTTCTCTAAGATGATTAAAAGAAATCTGTTTCATTTTGGAGGTCTTAAAATTAACAAGCCATTTCTTGCCTCAGTTAACAATAGATTGTAGGTCATTTTTTAGATCAGCTGCTAATCTGACCTTATTGAACTGATCAGACTTACCATTAAGACAGGAGTAAATAGTTGTGTCATCAACATAGATAAATATATAAGCTGGGCTCAAAAGGCACATTAGAAGACACCTGTAAGAATAATAGATTGAATATAATAGTTACTTTTTTTTTCTTTCTATATTTCTGAGGTGAGGTATTATGTACATTATTTGAACTATTGTCCTCATTTTTGTCGCCATATTTATTACAACGTTTCGGCCTTTCAGTACCTGTCTATATTTCTGAGATGAGGTATTATGTACATTATTTGAACTATTGTCCTCATCTTTGTTGCCATATTTATTACAACGTTTCTGCCGTTGTACGCTCCGGCCTTCTTCAGGTGGTTAGAATGTCGAACTGAACCCTTTATTTTGCTCACTGGGGTAGACTGTTCTAGTTCCATATGCCATATTTAATGGATGTCAGTTATCAGTTATCTCCTGTTAATTCCCCTCTGAAAGTTCTCCATTGCCTTAACTGGCCATGGAAATCATACTCTTTGGGTCCTGTCACTGGATCTAACAAACGCCTTTATCCACTGTGCCATGTGTCCTTGACTGATAACTGACATCCAATAAAACAATATATCCAATAAATATTACCAGAAACAGATTTTTGACAAAACAAAATATTACTAGCAATAAAGAGTTTTGTCGGCATTAAGTAACCCATTGAGGTTGATATGCTGTAAAACAAAATAAACCAAACCAATCTAAACCAAAGAATACATATTCTATTCATACGATTCTGCCCTAAAAATGTTGTTGGCATTAGATAACCCATTGAGGTTGATATGCCATAAAACAAAATAAATCAAACCAAGCTAAACCAAAGAATACATATTCTATTCATATGAATCTATCCTGAAAAAATTGTTGGCATTAAAAATCCCATTGAGGTTGATATGCTATAAAACAAAATAAACCAAACCAATCTAAACTGAAGAATATATATTCTATTCATATGAATCTGCCCTAAAAATGTTGTTGGCATTAAATAACCCATTGAAGTTGATATGCTGTAAAAGAAAATAAAGCAAACCAAACCAAACACATATTAATTAACTGAATGACAAAGTGAAAAATTATGAATGTGTTTCATTCTCTAAAATGACTTCATTAGACTAAGGTTATACTCTTAATGATGAAAATATATCTATTCTCCCATATGTATATATATATATATATAATTAGAAGAAAGGATCCATGTGTGCTTCTTATAGTATGTCTACAAAAACATCTGTCGGTAATTCCCATTTCTCTTTTTATTTCTCGCTTTGTTGATGAATGACACAGGCATGTCTGAAAATTCAGAACTTAAAAATTTTCTTTCTGTGCTTCATTTCTGTCATATGGTTAATAATTAATATTCAATAAATGTTTTTCATACTGATTATATTGGTACCGTTTTGTTTGTCCTTATTTTATTAACTAACCTATCTATTTTTCACACACACACACACACACAAAAGAAAAACTTAGCTGATGTGTTCATCTGCTGAGAGACTTTATCAAGGCAATTGTGAGGATTTTATTTTGTGATAAGTATTTATATACAAGAGCAAAAATGTTACTGGTTTTTCAAAAATTTGTTTTGGCATAGGAGTACTCATGAACATTCATCAGGTTAGCGGAAAAGTCAGGCAAGTTCATGGAAATGAGGTGATGCAGTTCAATGCCTTATAAATGAAAGGGAAATTTTTTTTATATGTATAGGTGTAAATTAACATTTAAATTATTTGGGATTGTGATTGATTTATGTGTTGTATGTTTTGAATAACATGAGTTTAAGGATTTAGCTATTTTCTTTTAATTTTTTTGTATTTTTGTGGTCATGTATCTTGGCTTCGGAAAGGAGTAATTTTTTCAGGAAAGGAGATATTTGAAAGAATCCAGGGCACAGATTTATATTTTGATAAGATTCAATAGTGGCACTTTCAAGAATTTTCCTTCTAAGTAAGTAAATTTAGGTTTTATTGGGTATACTTTAATCTTGTAGCATTTGTGAAGAAATTCTTTTTTAATTTATATAAATTATGATTTTGTAAAATTAACAGATTAGATATATTCATATTATAGCAGACACATTATCAGAACATATTCTATTAATTAAATTCAGCTAAAATAAAAGCTCTTTTTATTGAGAATTATTAATAAAATGATATCCTGAGGGGATATTGATGTAAAATAAATTTTTATTAATTTAGAAATTATGGAGAAAAATAAAAATTACACAGCATTTAAAACAAATATCAAATTATTAAATTGCAAAGTTTCAACTTTTAAGCATGTATAGTTATTAAGTTATTAAAGTGTTACCCTCTTTTAAAAAATACATTCTTCATTTTTACAGACCATTACTGGAAAGTTAATTTCCTGTACACATCTAAAGACAATGTGGCCATTATGCATCCTAAAATCAACAATGTTATTCCTGTGTACTTTGCTGTCTCAGATATTATAATGGTGGATACAAGTACAGAGACTAGCAATTTTCAGGTGTTACTTTGTGGCGATTGCTATGTTTTTTCACGCCCACATTTTATTTGCCTGCGATTGGCTAATAAATCACTACTACTTTCATATAGGACAATTTAGCCATCGCATTTGTTTCTTTGAATCCTTTGGTTTTGAGCTTGCTTGCTTGTTCTGTTAGTACGAATGTAGTGATTGGTTAATTTTTAACCAATCATATATTTTAGTGCAAGATTAAGTTTTCCTGCATTGCTGTGGGAGCCTACCTTTTTCCTTAAAAAGGCGACTTTTTCACAAGTCATCAGTAAGATCCAGTAAAATTCACCTGTCCGCACAAGTCCATGATCTTGCTCATAACATTTCAAACGCAGACACAGAATTTTGTAACATAAACTTACATTTCTCTCTGTGACTTAGCCAAGCTCAATCAATCAGGACTCGGTTGATTTCGAACCATTCTATAATACAACACATGTTTGATCAATTGTATTCTTGTGTTATCTATTCTAACAAACAGATTTTGTTCTAATACTGATTCCTGAACATTTTTATCTCAAAAAGTACTTCCTTCAAACAATCAATTACAACCAAAATACAATTAAAGGGGAACAACTTCTTTCCCTTAATCTATACATTGAATACAATTTTATTGCATGTTTGTTCTTGTATGTTATTTCAATATATACTTTTTGTTGATTCACAGTTTGGAGTTTTTGTTGTTTACTTGAATCCTGTACGTTGAAAGTATAATAATATAAATAGTATTGGTCTATATACAAACGGATACCTTTACAATTGGTAACCCCAATGTTCCAAAAATAAATCTTTCAACCAATAGGCCCTTACAACTTTATATTTGTCCTGAAGTTGCTCACAGAATTTGGGAAGTGAAATGTAATGAAACAATGACTGTATTATCTAAAGTGAGTGTGTTTTAAGGTTAATGACTTATTTTTTGAAATAAGGCCAAGATATAGATGATTAGTTACTGCTTATGCAAGGCAAATGAAAACATGACCACAAAAATAATTCAGAAAAGCTTGAATCATCAAACGATACAATAGAAAGAGTAAGAATGCTTTTTGACACACTCCAGTTTTTATAATATTGGTATTTAGATTTATTATTTCCCCAAACTTTTGTATACCAAGATAAATAATAAAAATTGTTCATCTTGAGGAAATATCTACTGGGCTGGGATTAACTAAGGAAAAAGCACTAAGTGGCAGGTAACTTCAAAATTATTTCTTTGAAATAAACAAAAAAAAAACTTGCTTTTTAAAGTTCTAAGAGGAAATATTTTCATTATTTTTTAAATTATTTTCTGCAATTTTGGTATTTTTAGTATCTAGAAAAATGAAAGTTCATAATCATAAAACATCAGACAATATAGGATGGCTTTATATCAACTGAATGAATGGGTTTGTGGTGATCTTATCTGTCAGGTGGCGTTCTATTAAGGAATATAAAAGGAAGGGGTCATAAACCCTCTCTCTCTCCTTTTACTCTTTGACATAGTGACAACATGGCATCTTTGTTCTCTGTGGAGACACTCATTGGGCAGATAAATACTTAATTTCAGCCCAACTTTGTGGTGCATATGGACACACACACACACTACATTAATCCCATAAATGTTTTTCTTTCTTTTTTTGAGCTTTCAGTATATAAATAAATTTAATTTTCTGTCTCTTCTTTTGTCATTTATGTTGTTCTTTATAAAAATTTTCCATGTTTTTTTCTTGGTTGTTAATGTCATTATGAGTATAGAACAAGATATTTTTCTTTATTGCTAAAATTGTTGTGAACATAAGATTATTTATGCAATCACAAGGTAAAAGTAAAAACAAAACCGTAAGGATTTGGTTTCCCACATTTGTATAAAAAGTTACCATATATAGACAAACTTTGTTTTGTGTAGGGAAATTGGCATTTTCAGGGAGAGTTAGGAGTTTGAGTGTCTTTTTTTTCTTATTGTTGTTGGTGATTTTATCTTTTTGTAATTATAATTAGTAAATTTTTCTACAATTACAAAATATTAGTGAATGTTTTAAATAAAACCTAAACCATAATTGTTTGGAAATTTTGTTGCGAATTAATGTTTGTCTATTATACATGGCGAGTTAAAGTGCATTTTTATATTTCTCTTTTAGAGCACATTTTGCTTTTTTCTTCTTCTTCATCTCTTCCTGGTACACAAGTAGTTTTTTTTTACTTGTATATTTTGCAAGATAGTTGTTGCTTTGAAGTATCTGTTTTATCCAGCGTTATCTATTACTATTTTTTTTAACATTTTTTTTTATCCATTTACGTGGCCTTGTTTCAGACTCTTCTATGTTTGCCAAAAGAGCGCCATGAACTTATGTTAATTATTTGCGCAACTCAAATCGAGGCTGTCGGTGTTCAGAACGAGACTGAGTTAGGCCCAGAAAGAAACAAGGAAGAAGCCAAGATGGAGTTGTTGGCTACCTATGGTGATGATGGAGAGAAATCGGAATCCCCAGGCCCCAGCAGCGACGTTGGTGAGAAGGTAATGAACTTTCAGTAATATTTAATGTTCATCTTTTGGTCTTATTTTATTTATACTGCATCATAAGTTTTATTGCGTTATTTTCTTTAAAAAATTGAAAATTAAGATCTGTTTTTTTTTTCTTTTTCCTTTCGTCTTTCAAAATGGCGACATTGATTTGTTTTTAGGTGTTCGACTTTACTTAGGTGAAATATATTAAACGTTATTTTTGTTTTTCCAAACAATTTTAATTTTATGAGATCTTTTGGTTTTGTTTTTTTTTTTTTCATTTATTTATATGTATAACTAGATTACAAAATTGTAATTTGTTTAGCTTAAAATATTCTTTTTGTCATTTATTGCAATAATCGCTTTTTAAAAATAATGGTAGGTTGTTTTTGTAAGTTGTTTCCTAAGGTAACATAATTAATATGACTGTTAATCAAATTTATTTTCTCTTTTATGGCGTATTTAACTCTTGTGAATAATAGTTTTTAATATAAATGAGTGGTAATAAGATGTTTCTGTGTAATTAAAAGAATAAAACTGGTAGCCAAAGAAACTTTGACATGGAAAAATATTATCCGATTTAATAAAGCAAGTAAATCGATAAGAAATATTTATTACGATTTTAATCTAATTGTGCAGCTCCGTTGATAAGTAATGACAATTTTATATTTGTTTACTATTTATAAGTTAAAATTAGCCTAATAAAAAATAAACCTAAGTGCAAAATAATAGAACCAGTTTTCTTTGTTTTGTAGCAAATAGAAAAATAATGTCCTTCTTTTCATAATTTAAAATCTACATTAATGAATAAACTTTTCTCGATATATGTATTTTTAATCATTGACACTTGTAAATAAATTTCTACTTTGTACTTAAGTACAAAGTAATTTCATCAGGTACTAAATTTTGACATTTATATTTTTTTGGCCTGAAATTAGTTTTCTTTTCAGTCCCCCTTTTTTTTTCTTGTTTTATAAATCCAACCTAAAAATAAGTTTGCTATTTAAAGGAAACTTAAGGTTAATTTTATTGATACTTCAATTTTACTAAAACAATTTTTAGTCTTAGAATAAAACTAAAAGATAATGATTAAATAATTAGTATTTAATTTAGTAAAAAGATCAAACAAAAAAAAAATGCCTAGGAATAAAAAGAAAAGAAAATGTATCGTTTAGTCGATCAAAGCCACAAAATGTCTAATTTATTAATTAATTATAAAAAGAAAATTAAAATATTTTTATCTATCAATATAGTTTTTATTTTCAATGTTGTTGCTTCGATAAAGATCGATGTCGTATTTTATAAGATTTTTTTTCGTATCCGTTGTGGAAAAAATATTCAGAACAAATTATTGATCTGTCTGAAGAGGTTTAGAGGATTAGGAATCGATTATGATAGGAAAAAGTCAAACTATTTTCCTTTTTTAGTGATGAAAAGAATAATAAACCTATTGATCTTTTTTTTTCTTGATGAATAATCATTTGAAAATACTGAATAAGTCTTTTTTTTTTTTTTTTTTAAATTACAATGGGGAAAAAAACAAGAGAAATGGTGAAGGTGGTCAAATAATTCGCATCGGAATTATAATTTCAGGAACATTAAATTTTGTAATGCATTTTTAGTTTGCATTAGAAGAATTTCATTTTTCAAAATCTTTCAGAAAATATTAAAAATTATCTCTTGTCTTGTAACTTATTTTAGGTTATTAGTGCAAAACTAAAAATGTTTCTTTTTTTTTTCCTTGATTATGTCAATGAATTGATCAGACTTTTTTGATTTTTTTTTTTTTTTTTTTTTTTTATAGATTGCATTTGTTTATGTTTGCTTATCAAATATTAATGATGATATTTCAAATTTAGAAAAAAAATTTCAGGTTTTATTATCAGGATAAATTACAGGAATAAAGTTTTAACACAATTTATGTTTTTATTTTTTTTTAAATCGTTTGAAGAGTTATTTTTAAAAAGTAGGTTATCATAGGTTGCAATTTTGTATCATCAATAAATGTCAAGATAACTCGGTTGTTTTGGTGGCAAATATTTAAATGAACACTTCAGTATTTAATGATAGGTAAGAAGAGGATCTGTTTAAAGATGATCATTCTAATCTAAAAAGTCTTTGTTGGATACAACTAATATTTAGGCATTGGCTTTTTTTACTTTCACTTTTTAATGTCAGTTAATTGATTTCTTTATTAACTCTCTCTCATCAAGTTCTCTCTGGATTAAATGAGCAATTTGCTGGCTGTTCATTCTTCAGTTAATTTTCTCTAATTGCAATAGTATTAAAATTAAATCGTACAAGAAGGATTGATTTCTCGTGTGAAAGAGGTGTCTAGTGTTTATATGCAACCTTTTTCCACATTTTCTTAAAACTCATTTAAAATTGTCTTGAAATTAGAGTATATTTGGAATTTCCTTGTTCTCTATTTTGATTTATGTTATGACTCTCTCAAATTTTATTACATTCATTAATACTTGCCCAATGGAATAAAGGAAAACAATTTACACTAATTTTGATTAGCTATAACAAAAGTGATATTTTTGTTATAAACATGAATCTTGCGCCTTTTCTTCTGGTTTCTTTTGAATTCATCTTAAATCGAAAGACCCAATCGTTTGCCTACTGTAGGAATGTTAGAAACAATTGACATAATAAGAGTCAACAGGTAAGTAAGAAAGGAACTATATATATATATATATATATATATATAAAACAGATGTTTTTTAGATAATTATATGGTACTGGTAAATATATCATATTTCAATGATGAAGAATCATCTTAGTGACCAACTTAAAATGGACTATTTTAAAATTAATGGGTTTTTGAAAGGTTTTATCCATGTTTTCATTGCTTTGCCATTCTATTACATTATTGTCAATTTTGATCTGTCTTTTTAAGATAAAAATTAATTTTTCAGTTGGTCACTGATTGTAAAAGAAACTAATTCCAGTATATATACTTGCATTATACGTCCACTTTTCATTTGCTATGTTGGTTAAACATAGAAACCTAGTTTTTCTTGTATCTCGTTATGGCTACATCTGTATCATATGCATACTGTGTTCACAATTTGAGATATTGTTTGATGTTATTAACAACAATGGTAAGTTTTTTTTTTTTTTTTGTTTTTGTTTTTGTTTTATTTTATTGGTGTTTACTACAATGTTTTGGTTTGTATGATTTTGGTGCAACTTTTCAGGAATTATTTGTTAATTTTTACCTAAAAATTAATGGAACTTCAGCCAATGCACAGTTACTATTATTATTACTGACTATTTGACGATACAATAGTACTTAGGTCTTGTGGAAAAAAAAATATATATTTGTATAATAATGATTTATTTTGTTGAAAGTAGTAATTTCTCTCAATATCCTAATGCAAATAATCCCTTTGTTGGTTTTCTTGCATTGGGCTTTTCCAGTTTAATCATTTTCTAAATTAGTTTAAAGTTAGATTTTTTTTTTTTTTTTTTTTTTTAATTTTAAAAAGTAAAAAATATCCCAAATCTCATCTGTTGATGTTAAAATATTCATACTTTAAATTTAGCATTTTCAAATGTAGACTTTTCCATCCCTAAATTCCTGTTATAATTCTATACTTGGATTGTGTAGACTTATTTTTTTGTCCCATGTAAACTTAATGTTGAGAAATACTTTGTAATTTAACAATTTGTTTTACCTATGAAAGCAGGCCTATTTATATATTAACTGTATTTTTCTCCTTTGAAATAATGAGATTCTGTAAATTGGACATTGCTCAATTATGATTTCCATATTTGAAAGCTGCTTGATGATTGGCTGAGTTGTGTTGATTGTATGTTAAGTTTGCCTCTATGTGTACTGTCTCTCTCTCTGTCCCCCCTAGTTAAGCTGATTTTAGACTCTAATAATAATAATGTTACAAATCCCTGAGTACTATAATAACCTATATGCATGAATCAAAGACCAGATGTAACTAGATTTTTTGCTTTCACATATTTAACCTGAAGTCATATGACTTGCGAACAAGCGCCACTATATTGGCCCACCTGCTTGGCTGTGTAAGGAATCACCACTGGTACCCTGCGTAAGTACTGACAGATTGGCAAGTTTGCCCTTCTGAAATTTTTTTCTTATATTTCTTCTTCAACCTGTGATAGTGCACATGTATATATTTGTTAGTTGTTACTATTTTTTTAATTATATACACACACGCATACATACATAAATACAATGTGGCAATAGATTGAATGAATTTTTCTCTATTTTTCCCTCCCTCTGTATTATTTCCCAGTTACACCCAGAAATCTTCAACTTGGATTTATTTTGAATACTCTATATCTTCTTAGAAGAAAACTTTGAAAGAATTTGAACTCTATCAAATTCAGAAAGTATTTAAGCAGGACTATTTAGAAGTGAGTTGATAATTGATAGCACTTCAGTTAATTGAAATATTAACAACATAAATAGTCCTTTGTTTACTTTAGGCTGTGATAACTGATATGAAAAATTACTAAAATATTTTAGAAGCAAGAAATAAAGATTCAGATTATTTATTTTTATATTCATATATACTCATTGCATCTTAATTGTGAATCACATAATGGCTTCTGAGAAACTGGATTTCATTCTGCTTGTCTTACATATTGTAGTTGCTTATTTAAATTTACTGCCAAATGTCTTAGGAATAATTCTTCCATTTTTCGGCACTTGTGTTTAATTGTAAAGGCACTGGATTAATTGTTAAGCAGTGGCATTTAGTTTTGTCTCTTTGATGTACATGAGAATTTGTTTGGAACAAACTCTACTCACTGCTTTATACCAATTCTGGACAAATGTCTCATCTTTGTTTTTAATTTTTTTTTTATATTTATATTTTTTTTAGAGAGAAAAAAAAAAACAAACTCATGTCCTGTTGCAATGTATGTAAGCAATATGGAAAGTGCCAGTTTGCATGTTTTACAATTTTTGTAAATGCTTTTTTGTCTTTTCACAATCAGGTTTTATTTTTCTCACTTAGCTTTTCTCATGTTCCTCCTTTTAAGTCTCATCTTTGGAAGGACAAATCATTTCATATCGGTTTGTAGACAAGAGATTTATATATTTAATCAAATCTCAAGTTATGATTTTAAAAGGAAAATTGGATTTTAGAATTAAATAAGAAGAAAAAAAATTCTGACTCCAGTTTCATTAATGGTAAAAAAAAATTTTAGATGCATGCTACATGTAGTAAATTATAAGCAGATGTCTTCTGCCAACTTTGGGCATTGGATGAGAAATTTAATTTTTCAATCTCTAGTTGTCTAGATTTCTTTGAATCCAAATTTCTTCTGCATGAATTTTCTATTTGCTGCAACGGAAAGATTTTCTTCAGCTAAAATTGATTAAAAAGAAAATGACTTAGGTATTTGTCATTTAAATTAGTTCTTTTTTTCTTTCTTTGTTTTTCTTGTTTGAGTGCAAGACCTAATTGCTGTTTTGTTTTTTTTTTTTTTTTACTTTTGTTCTTCAGGATGCTAGTCCTGTTGCTCGTGTACCATCTTTCACTCCTTACTTACAAGCTGAGTGGGAGTCATTTGAAAAACTGATTGCTGGAGGAGGAGAGAGTCAAAAGGACATGTCACACAATGCACAGATTTTTGCACCAATTCCTCCTGTTGATTTTTCTAATGGTTCTAACACCATCCAAGAAATCCACCAAAGAGAATCTGATGATAACACAATGGTCAATGAGAGTCACCTCCACAGTCACTCTCCTCCACATGGATCTTTGAGTAATTCTGCTTCCCATTCAACTAGTAGTTCTCGCTCAAGTTCATTAGACAGACCAATAGGTTGGTATTTTTTTTTTTTTTCCAATTTATTCACTAATTAAAATTTTTTTTTTTTTATACTGGAATAATTTTTATTTTTAATTTTTATATATGAACTAATATTAATGTTTTTTTTTTTTTTTTTTCTCTAGATTCCAAAAAAATTATTGAGGTAAGTTACTTTTGTGTGTTTATTTGCTGAAATTACTTCAAATAATTGTTAAATTAAATATTCCAGTTTTCAAAGCAAACTCTTGGAATATTAATGGAAAGGAAACAGTCATAGGCTAGGAAATATAAAGATATATCAAATCTCCATTCAACTTTACAAGTTTTGTTTTCACTTAGACAATATTTGTTTTATTTAGCCTTTATTTGCCACATATTAAAACTTTTCAAAATAAAGCCTATTATCAGACTGTTTTGGGAATCCTCATTAGAGGCATATTACTTTGTATTATTTCTCACAGACTCCTTATCCTTCATTGTTGGGGGATCATTTAAGCACAACTAATAACCATACAAGAAAAGAACAAGGCTATACTACCTCTATGAAAATGTCAGATTCTGAAAGATTAATTTGCATTGATACATTCACAAGTTGCAATGATTTTTATGGTAATAAACTGTTGGTTTCAATTTTAAGATTAAAATAAGTCAATGGACTTTTATTTCCCAGGAAAACTTGGACTTTTTGTTTAAAAGGTCCTTTTAAAAATACAGGCTGTACTAAAACTTATTCATTTGTATTATTTTTACTTTGTTTTCCTTTTTCTTTATGTGAATCAACTGAATTTTTCTACTTATGTTAATTTTAAGTTTTTCCTACACTCTAAATTAGGTACCTCCACTTTCTTACCTACTACAGTTTAAGATGAATTTTTAAAAATGAAAAAGCATTTTGAAGATTTCATTTTATCTTTAATTGAAAGCTAAAGGATTAAATTTATTATTTCAAGTAAGTAAAATATTCTGGTGTATTTCAGATAGAATTTATAAAGATTAGAATGTCAAATAATTGCTTGATTTTTTTTTTTTTTTTTTTTTTTTTAGTGGCCATTTTCTTAATTTCTAAGAAATTTGTAAACAAACACATTTATCAGGTTTTAAATTCTTTAAAAATTAAATTATAGATTTGTGACATGTTATTTGAGTAAAATTAGAAAATTTAAATTAATGTAATTTGAAATAAATATTACTTATAGCATAAAAAACTATATACAAACATTTCTTAACGATGGGTTCCTCTTTCTTTCATCTTTATTGATTTATGGAGAAGCACTTAAGGTGGTGACAGCTCATATGGATGACCAGAAATTTATATATTTACGAAAACTAAGTGAACACTTTAACTGCCTAGTAATTTTTACAAATTAACATATTTTCAGCAATTATTTAATATTTTATTGACTTTTAGTCAAGTTTTTAAGAAGCTTTATTACATTTCTAGGTTCTTAAGTTTACTACATTTAAACAAAAAAATTAATTAATTGAAGTATGACCCAAACTAAAATAAATACATAAAATAAAAATATTTAGTGAAATAGCAATCAAGAAAAGTAAAACTTTTATTTTGATATTTTAAAGGGGTGATTTACAAAGACGTTAATGATGAAACAGAACTGAATTAAAAGTGAAATAATCATCGTGTGTCAGATGACACTTAAATCACATGACCTTTTAAAGGATTATGCCATCTATAGATTCCCATAGGTAGAAATTAGTAACGTTTTTTTTTTTTTTTTTTTTTTCCACAAAATTATTTTAAAAATATTTGGGTTCAAATGGCTGTTATGACCTTTTCAAATATCGATTTGTAAATTTACTTTGCACTTAACGATATCATTAAATTGCATTCTTGAAAGCAATGAAGAATTTTAAACGATTTTTGAACTATTATATTATTATAATTAAAATTCTAAAAAAAATGAAAAATTCTTGTAAAAATTCGATATTCATCGAAAAAATTTTATTTCTTTAGGCAATAATGTCCTTATAACTTATTTACAAAAGCAATTAAAAGCTTTTTTTAATTAATGTCATAGTTTTATTGCATTTTTTTATTTTACAATTCAGAGCAGATTTTCTATGAAACACAACTGTTTTACAAAAAAAATGATTTAGAGTCCTGTTTTGAAATAATAACCCTTCCCCCTAAAAATTTAACTTCTTGGAATTATGTAAGTAGATGCTAACATATGTATAAAAAAAATTTTTTTTACCAAGATTTTCTAAAAGTAAAAATTTCAAAAATAATTTCATTCATTTCTGAATATGTCCTGAAAGTTTCATTAAAATCTGACAATTATTTGGATTTTGCAAGAATTTCAAAATCAATGTGTGTTTTCCTCGGAAAAAGCGCAAAATAAAACAAACCTTTTTTTTCTCTTGTTCATCACTGTCATAAAAAACAGAATTTTTAACCAAAATTTTGAATGTTTTGGAAAGGATTAAAAAAAAAAATTTTTTTTAAATAATAAAAACAATACTTAAGTCTTTTCTCTTAATAATAACAAACATTTTGATGACAAAACTTTGTTCTTATTGAGTTTGGGGCTTTTTTCATCATGCTATGCTGTTTTTTACACAACCTAGTGGAGGTACCTACTCTAAATACTCAACTATTGTTGTAAGTTAAAATAGTTAAAGCTAATTATTCTGGTAAAGCCTCATTGGTTTATTTGTAGAATTTACTAATTGTAGAGCACCACTGTGCTTAAACATAAGGAAATTAATCCCAGTTAACATGATTTACGAATTCAGTTGCATTTGTTGTATTTTTTTTTTTTTTTTTTTTTTTTTTTTTTAATTTTTTCCAGGAAGTTATTAATGTATCACGGTCACCCAGTAAATCTGATGAACGCAGATCCTGCAGTACTTCCCCCATTGCTGTTATCCGGGAATCTCCTGACAGGAATTCTGGGAGTGATTCACCTGTGCACAGTTCTCCAAGCAGATCTCGTAGTAATTCTACAGGCAGATATTCACAGGACCGGTCCCCAGATCATCACCGACGTGTAAGTTTCTTTACCAACACCTACTTCCAGCTCCCAAACAATCTCTCTGGGTTTTCAGAAGCACATGCAATCAAAAGGGATTACATACTCTACCTCTTACTCTTAGTACCTCTGTAATTAAAACTCTCTCTTGGTTTTTTAAGTATTTTTGTTGATAAGCATTTTTGCTAGTATCTAGTAAAAATGCTTGTTTTTTTTGTTTTTTTTTTACTTGCAGTTTTGCATTTGAATTTCACAGTAGGTTATATTTTTCTTTCAAACTTGTGGTTAGTTTTTGAAGAGTCATTCTGCCTTTGGATATTTGGATAAACCCTTTAAAATGTTTCATAATAAATAATTATTAACTCTGTTTTCAAATGGACAATAAATTGTATATTAACTCCTAAGTGATTGTTATTTAGTTTAATATGAACTAGGGCATTTGAGTTGAGCAGGTTAGAAATAGATTAACAATATCTACCCATATCATAGGTGGATAATGATAATTATTCACTGTTATCAGGTTAGGCTTTGTTGGTTCTAAATCTTTTATTACCTACTTACCTATGGCAGGTGTGAACTGTTGCTGCTTCACCTGACCTATTGGGTAAGATGTTTTGAAGTTGGCGCATTCCTCTAAAAACTTATTTTCTCCATCTCATTTTCTTTAAATTTAAAGAGTATCATTTACACTAAGTAAAATTCTGTTTTATATTCATAAAATAGTGATGGAAAATTTACTCAGATATTTTGTAAATAGGTCTAAATTGGCTTCAAGTTGAAGAGAATTTGCCCATTAAATTTTATAATCTTCCATTGTTTGCCTTTGTGGCTGTAAAAGTTCACTGATTTGATTTACATTGTCATGTTATTTTGAAAGAAAGCTAGTTTAGTAGTTTTTCAGAATGTTTACATATTGATTAAATTAACTTTATTTTAGATTCCTCATATTTTAAACTTTTCTTAAATAGTTTTTAATGAAATTCTTTGTGTTAAAAGAAAAAAAGTAATTCCACCTGAACCAAATACATTTCAGCATAAAATCTTGACTTTTTAAGTTTCTTGTGTAAATTTTATATGAAACTCTTTTTAAAAAGCTTTTTAGTTTTTAATCTTGAGGATACAAAACGTTGCTCTCTAGAAATTTTTTTTTTTTTTTCCAATATTTTACAGATCCCTCTAAGAAAAAAGAGGCTTTTCAATTATGCTTTTCGGTATTTCAGGTATTTAAAATGAATCATTTATTTCAAGTGTTTGTTTTTACAAGCAAATTCCAATTTTGTATTTGATTGGACTTTGATTTTAGTGTGTGTGTGTGATTTTTTTTTTTTTTTTTTTTTAGAAATGTGCCTCACTCTTTTTTCTTTCCCAACTTCATCCCCAGAGATGAGAGACCTAAATTTGACTTAAGTTTCAAGCAGATTGGTTCTTTTATTTCCAAATGGGATTGTACCAATTGCTATTCTTTCTTCATTTTCCTGATCTTTAAATTAACATTTGATGATTTCCGATTTAATGAAGACTCAAATTTATTTTACTATGACAATATGTCAATCTTTATTTTTGTGTCTTCAATTAAAATTTAATTAAAAAAAAACAAACAATTTGTCTATTCCATTAGATTTTATTTTGGTGTTAAGAACACTCGCCTGTGAGCCATCAACACTAAGAAAGTAATCAAGCTTAGAGTATCGCTATTTTCAGTATCAGCCTATCAATTTATAAGCATTATCATTATTTTCAACTATTCACTAAAAATATCGGCTTTCATTGTAAGGGAGGCAACTTATTTTAATTAAAAATCCACATGCATTTTCTTTTTTCTTTTTTATTAACTTGGATTTGATCAAAATTTGAGAGGTTTTGAGACAAAACGGAATTTAAACAGTCCAGAAAATGTGTCTATGTTTCTGAGATGAGGTATTATTTACATTATTCGGACTATTGTCCTCATCTTTGTTGCCATATTTATTACAATGTTTCGGCTGTTGTATGCTGAAGGCCAGACCTTCTTCAGGTGGTTGGAATGTTGAACTGAACCCTTTATTTCGCTCACTGGGGTAGACTGTTCTAGTTCCACGTGCCATGTTTGATGGATGTCCGTTATCAGTTATCTCCTGTTAATTTCTCTCTGAAAGTTCTTCACTGCCTTAACTGGGTATTGAACTCTGACTCTATGGGTCCTGTCACTGGATCTAACTAACGCCTTTATCCACTGTGAGGACATCTGTGTATGAATTTCTGGGTATTATAAACCTAATGTCTTCAGCAACCATTTTTTACCAGTGTGCATATTGCTATTTTTGCTGTTATCATTGTTTTTACTAGAGCTCATATTGCAATTTTTGTTGTTATTGTTTTTCTCTGGCACTCCTTATTACTGGTTCCCATATTGTATTCATTTCTGTGCTTGGTCGGCTCAGGAGATTATTTGTGGCCTAGCATATGTGCTGATTCTTTAGGTTTATGAAATTTCCAATAGTGTTCTTTGTCTATGATCTCAACCTGATCCCACAGAAGGTGGTGATCTCCCTTCTCTCTCCATATGTGGTCAGCCGTGCCTGAATTTTCCACTTCCCGAATATCCCAGTTTATTGGGGCTGCTGCCATGTACCCAGGGTAGTTGTTACATTGTAGGGTACAAGAGGAGGACAACAACACTCAGAAAACAGTCTGTCTGCCTTATGTGAAGGGGTTATCAGAGAAAATATAAAGGATCTGCGGTCCATATAACATCAGGACAACCTACAAAAGCTTGACGACACCGCAGATATCTCCCGAGTAAGACCCCCCCCCCGCCAGAGAGGAGAACATGACTAAAGGCTGTATGTATGCTATCCCGTGCACCTGCGGAAAGAAATATAAAGGGGAGATAGGCTGCCCCCTTAAGAAAAGGCTTCAAGAACATTAGAAAGCTGTAACACGAGGGGAAGTGGAAAAATCGTGCGCGGCTGACCACATATGAAGAGAGAAGGGAGATCACTGCCCTCTGGGATCAGGTTGAGATAATAGACAAAGAACACCATTGGAAAATTCGTAACCTTAAGGAGTCAGCACATATGCTAGGGCACAAAAATCTCCTGAGCCGACCAAGCATAGAAATGAATACAATATGGGAACCAGTAATAAGGAGTGCCAGAGAAAAGCAATAATAACAAAAATTGCAATATAAGCTCTGGTTTTTAAAAAAAAAAAAAAGAAAGGTTGCTGAAGACATTAGGTTTATAATACCCAGAAATTTATACACAGATGTCCTTCTACCCCAGTGAGTGAAATAAAGGGTTCAGTTTGACATTCCAACCACCTGAAGAAGGCCAGAGCGTACAACGGCTAAAACATTGTAATAAATATGGTGACAAAGATGAGGACAATAACCTGAATAATGTAAATAATATTCAGAAAAATGAAAACCAATTAATGGGTATAATTTGTTTCTTTGTTGAAACTTCTAATTTACTCTTCTTAATCTGATTCACTGTTTCTGGGGGAAAAAAAAAAATTTTTTTTTTTTTTTTTGTTTTTCCTTTCCAGACTGCTAAGTCTAGATCTCGAAGTCGGTCTCGATCGCGATCCCATCGAAGATCTCGTTCTCGTTCACGTAGCTCAAGGCACCGCAGAAGGAAGCATAGTCACAAATCAAGATCACGGTCTCGTAGCCGTAGATATCGAAGATCAAGGACTCCTCATAAGAAGGTAAATTTCTATTGAAAAAAAAAAGTCTTCTAAAAACCATTGTTTACTTTTGCTAGTTGAAATAATTTTTTTTTTTTTCTTCTTTGTCTCTTTTATTTCAGAACAAGCATCGTCGAAGGAGCCGATCTCGAGATAGGCATAGGTCTCGTGACTGCAGGAGGTCTCGTTCAAGAGACCGCTTTGGTCGGAATATGAGGGGAAGGGAAAGTTATAGAGAGCGTAGTCCTACCTCTTTGCGTAGAAGAAGCCGTAGCCGTGACAGGAGTCGGGACAGAGAAAGTCATCGTAATGCCCAACGAGATTATATCAGGAGAGAGTCTAGGGATGGTGGCTCAAGCCGAAGCAAAGACAAGCCTTTAAATTTCAAAGAGCAAATGCGGCAAGAATTGATAAAAGCAAGCAAAATGCTGTCTGAATCAAATGTTGGAAATTTGACAGAATTGATGGAGGACAAAAAGATACTGGGTAAGTTTAATAGCAATGAATTTTTGTGTGCCTCACAACCAATTTTGCTTTTATTGTTGTTAGTTCAACTGTCAATTCACCCAGTGACCAAATCGATGTGAAGAAATTAAATGAATTCACCCACACATGATCACAATGTCATTCTGTAACTTAGTTTGAAATTTTATTTAACCTCTAATTTATGCAAAATGTACTTTGAGTTGCATTAGAGGAGTTTGAATCCTTTACTTTCCTGAAAAAATGTTGGTTTGATAGATTTGATAATTTTTTTTTTTTTTTTTTTTTTTTAGAACCCTCTTCTGATCAGCCTAACAACATTACATTAAACAGTGCAGTGCTTACTAATTTGGCTGCTGCAACTCAAAATTCTACAGTCACACCCCAAGTAGCTCTTCTTCAAACCATGGCTGCCATGCATAAGAAGGTAAGTTTTCTCCAAATGTTTTGGTAGGAATGGAATTCTGGACTGAAAAGAAATGCAAAAGAATGATTGTCAAAATACAGTTGAAAATTGCATGGGAGATAATAGCTCTCTTTATTGAATAAATTAAAGGAATAATCTGTATTTGTGGCATTGAATAATGGAGTTAGGAAATTAAAATTCCTTGAATGTCACAGCAAATTGATGTAATATCTGCAACAGAATGTGTAAAACATTTCTGCATTAGATGCTTTGTTGCTTTTACTATTTTCAATTTACTCTTAATGCACTAATTTTTACTCCAGTTAACTTTTTTTTTTTTTTAATGTACTCTTATATTATTGAGAATTGTCTATTTTATTTATATTAAATTATAAAAGAACCTTTTGTATACTGTAACAAATGATATCACATGCAATTATTTATTCACAGGTATAAATGCTTTTTGTAAATAATTGCTTGTTATTTTATTGAATATGTATTTAAATTTTTCAAGCTCCAAATTAAAAAAAAAAATCTCTATACATATTTACTTTATGAATTGGAAAAAAATCACAGATCAAACAATATATTACATACAAATTGTTTTTAATACTTAGAAGGCAGATAAAATTCACAAACTTTCAATATGTAGAAACTTACTGAAATCTGGATTTTTTAGATATGTGAATTGTTTAAGAGTTGTATAGAGATGCATTCTGTTCAGATTATACTTAGTCACTATTTTTAAAAATATTTTTGTAGGCTCAAGAAATGACTGGAATTGCAGTTCCTAAATATTATAATCCAGCAGCAGTGAATCCATTGAAGTATGCAGAACAAGTTCAAAAAAGGAAACTTTTATGGTCAAGACCACCAAAAGAGAAAAAAGATGGGGTAACTCATTTTTTTCAACTTTTAAATTTTATTTTATTTTATTTTATTATTTTTTTTTTATGTTTGTTATAAAATTAAAATTGCAACTACTGGTTTTTTTTTTTTTTTTTTTTTTTTTCCCCATCCAACCCTCTAACAAAATCTGTATTTTCAGGGTCCTGAAAACCAGTGGCAAGGGACTCACTTTTCAACTGACCAAGATGGCAAGATGGCTGCCAAATTCCGTAAATTGATGGGAATGAAATCTGGAGAGGAAGAAGGTACAGAAAAGGCCGGTGAAGAACGCAAGAAGCAGCAGGAAGAATTATTTAGTCGTTTGGATAAAGAATATGAATTTGCTAGAATGGCTACTCATACTCACAGGGGAGTGGGGCTTGGTTTCCAATCCCAGAACTTTTACCAACACTGAACGTCCCTTCACCCCCCCCCAACTTTATATTTTGTATATAATTCTGTAGATGCAGTTTTCTGTGCACTACTTCAAGCAGTCACTTTATTTAAAAGCAGATCTGCAATGTCACTTGCCAGGTAGTTATTGCTGGAGGTACTCTTCACCTCCTCATCTTTCAATTAGGATACGTTTTCCCTACAATCAGTAAATTAATGTTTCTTTTAGAGAAAGTCACTCTCTTTGTTCTCTTGTTGAGAAGAAACTTGCCAACTAATAAAGCCTGAACATTGTATATTTGCAATATTCCACTTGTAATGGCTTTTCAGTTGCAGAAATTGCTATTTAGAGTTTGCATACAAAAAAAAATTATAAAACTTTTTCTTTCTCTCTCCTTTTTCTCTCCACTCTTTCTTCCCCTCTCTCTTTATTTCTCTCCACTTTTTCTACTTTAAAAGTTGTCTCTTTAATTCAGATTTGAATTAGGAAGAATAATAAGTAAGATTTTTTTTTTTTTTTTTGGATTAGCATAAAACTTTACTAATGTAGAAGTTTTTATCTTATTTTAAAATCTATTTTTTTTTTTTTTTTTTTTTTTTGTATTAAATTCTACCTGTTTCAAATTGCACCTCTTCATTTAGAGAATTTGACTGCAATCCATTATTTCTGTAAATATATTGTTGGCAGTAAGCAACAATATGTAGTCAAAAAGACATCATTATGAGGAATAACCCCCTGGCCTGTTTTCTTTCCAGTTTGGTTGGCTTTTTACACCATTGCATCTAAATTTAGGTCTCTCCTTTTACAGATTGAAAATATACATTCAGTTGATAGTCTCGCACTGTTAACCTGAAAAGCTCTGTGTTACAATTGGAAAACTTTGTCTTTGCAAAGTTTATTTAAACATGGGCCAATAGACATGTAACTTGTGAACTTGTGTAAGAAATAATCCTGTTATTGTCTTTACAAATTACTTTTGCAATAAACAATCCACTGAAGTTGATCCATTTGCTTTGAGATACAATTTAGTGGATGTGATCCTGTGTGTGTTGACAGGCAAAGAAGGAAAAAATGCCTTAAAAAAAACAAAAAACGATCATCTGGTGAATATTTTCAGTCATGCTGGTATCAATTCTCCATAATGGAGATCTGTATATATCTATATATATATATATATAATAATAATAAATCCTTGAATCTTTTCCTATTTTTGTCTTGAATTATTTTTTTTCATTTTTCAGATTTTACTTTTTAGCAATTTGGATGTTAGAAATTGTGTTAAAGGTTGTTTTTTTTGGTTGTTGGCTTTATTGCAATCAGTCTCACTAAGCCTAGCTCATGGAAAGTGATTTTTGGATATCTTTGACAACTTCAAAGTGACTAGGTTACAGCACAGGTGCTAAAAATGCACAAGTCAATACTTTATGCTTGTAAAATAGGTGAAATGAAACTTTTTTTTTCTTTTTTTTTTTTAAATCTGCTTAATGCCTTTTGTGTATCTATTGGAGATCCTGATAAAGTGATCTTTGCTACTAGTCTTGTCTTTTCTAAAATTCAGTGTTAATTGCTGCTGAAGGTCTTTTCACATTCTCTTAAATATTTAAATTATTTCAGTTTTGATATCCTCAATGCAAAATAATGACATTTCTCATTCATTTATCATTTTTGGTAAGTTTAATTTTTTGTTTTTCTGTTATGACATTTTTTTTTTTTTTTCTTTTTTTTTTTTTTTTTTTTTTTTTTTTTCATACATTAAAGCTGATTTAGAAGAAAGTGAAAACTTCATTTGAGTTTCAGCTAAACTATAATTGGACACCTGATAATGCAGTGTGCAATAATCAGAAGAAAAGAAAAATGTTGATTGTCAAATAATTTAGGAGAAACATTTCTGACCTGAAATGTAAAAGGAATTTTCTTCCAAGCTGGATTAAAAACAGGATAAAAAGCAACAGAGGAAGACATATTGTCACTTTTTGCAAAATAAAAAAAATCAAGGTTATTTGTTTTACTTCATTAAAACAAATACCTGAAACTTTGACTTTATATATGCTTTGTCTTTCCTCAATTTCATGCCAGGTTGGTAATTACCATTTTGAATTTGTCTTTGATATGTGAATATTGTTTTCCCTTGATATACAAATGATAGCTGAGAATTGAGAGCTTTTTCTTTCCCCTCTTCAGTCAACTCTAGATTTTCTTGGAATTTGTCATTCAATTGGTTTTCTATAAAATTTGAAGATTTTGAGACACTAGTACTTTTCACCTTTGAGATTTTAATATTTTAATAGTAGTCATCCATTTATCTTGCAGGATAATGGTACTGCCCTTTTTGGTCAAAATTCAGTTATTTGGTGGTGAGACTGTAGTGACCTCCCCAGGGTGTAGTATATGGAGGCTGTGCCATGCCCTGACAGTCCCCACCTAGACCATACTCAAATGATCCAAAGGAATGCAGGGCATTACATTTAGGACTGGCTTGGCTGCAGGAATTGCCAGAAATTTGTCAGTGTTGACAGTCAACTGCCTTGATATATCTAATTTCCTCCCCCCCCCCAACCCTCTTTATCTTAGGAGATCTTGCTAATTAACCAGATGATACTATCTTTATCTAGTCTCCCTAGATATTTTTCTGTAATAATAATTGTGTTCTTGGGGATTACCATGTTTTGTCTATAATAACTTGGATCATTCTTTTCTCTGACCACATTTTGAACAGCCTAATGTAAATAAAACTTTGAATTTAATTTCAAAATTCTTTGTCTAGAACAATCTGTAGGAACAGACATTTTGGACAGATAGTATAATATAAACAAACTTTAAAATCTAATTTCTCAGGACTAAAGAAATTCAGACAACACATTAATCAGGTCTATTGGCAGGAAGTGGATAGGGTTGGTTTTGCTCAGTTTTATTGAATTTAGACTAGTTCTAGGTTCAATTCTTGGAACTGTTCAAAAAGTTGTTTTATTAATTTAAAACAACTTTGACTATATTTTTTTTCTCTCCTGAGAATTTTAATATTCAATTAACAATTTGATGACTTGTAATAAGAGTTGCGAACTTGCTAGCAAAGAAATTTTGTCAACTATCTGTGGTGAAGATACTTTCATTATTCTGAATGATGAGTGACTTAGGGAAAATTGTCTCATGACCTGGAATCTCATGTCTGACTGGTAAAAATGAATGGGTTTTGTTGTACACTAAACAACCAAATAGTGCCATAATATCTGTTCATTGTTTTTTTTTTTTTTTTTTAACATAATAAACACTGACAAATGAAAGTCTTCAACAGCTTTTGTAACAAAAAAGAAAAGCTTTGTTGGGTGCAGTCAAGCATGACTTCCAGCAGCATTCATCAGCAGGTAGGTTAGGTTTAAAGCTCCAAGTTCTCCACAGTGTTGTCCCAGAAAATAAATGAAAATTCTAAATCAGACACTCCTAGGTTAGGTTGAGACATGTACAGCTACTGCATTGATCCAGAGTTTGACCACTGTATCTGAAACCTTAATTTATAGAGTGGTATTGATTCTGACCACCTCCATTAAGAAGTAGAGTGGAAGGGCATGGACAGTGTGATGATCCTAGAGGTTGTGAGTAACAATATGAACTTATGGGCTCAGTACAGAAATACCTGGCATTCCTTCAATTCATTTCAAGAAGCTCATTATCTCCAACTCGTTGGTTGACTGCGTGCCTTTCCATTTCCTGTCTTAGAAGCTGCCATATTATCTTGATGAATAAGAATGTTAGAATTTAGGGCACGATGTGTAAAATTAGGTTAGGATGTCTTTTGTTTGGAAATAACAATGGTAATAACCATTCCTTCTAAAAAAAACCATCATTGACCGAGCAGTCAGATTTTTTATTTTTTTTTATTTTTTTTTTTTTTGTATTTTTTCAGTTTTCGATTTTTAAGTAAAAACAAATTGAAAAATTTTTACTACGTTACTTAAAAATCGAAAACTGAAAAAATACAAAAAATAAATAAATAAAATGACAATAAGATAAGTAAAATAACTCAAACAAATTACCAAATCACACGTTAGAATTGACGAAATAGAATAAATAAAATAAAAAAAAACAAAATCAATGAACCCAAATAAATAAAGTAAATAAACAAATTAACAAACCATTATGACCAAAATATTAGACTAGAAAAATTAAACCAAAAATCAGACGAAAAACATAGCTATAACTTATATAACAATAAAAAAATAATACATTACTTAAAAATCGAAAAAACAAAGTGTAAATAAGAATATACAGTATAATGAATAAATAAAAAAACAAAATAAATTAATCCAAATAAATAAACAAACTGACATACTGATCCCGATAAATTAATGTTAGAAAAAAACAAAGATAATCAATCCAAATAAATACATGAAGTAATAAACAAATTAGAAAACTGCTCCCGCCAAAATAATAGAATAAACTACAACAATCAACCCCAAAATTAAATAAATAGCTTTATCTTCCCAAAACAAACCAAAACAATTAAATAAGAGATATTAACATATTTTTTACTACATTAATAAAAACACTGATTAAAATAAGATAAATGAAAAAAAACAAAAAACAATGACAAGCAAAATAATTTAATCCAAATAAACAAATAAATGACTTCCCACAATGCACCACTGTCCCGTATATATAAATAGCCAAGAAAAATATCAGCACTCGTGGCCTGACGATTGCGTCTAGCATGAAACAGCCTGTTGACTTCAGTGTTCACTTTTATATTTACGCACACTCTCTCTGATATTGAATACTTTATCCCATAAACATAGCACATCTTAAGACTATATTTCTTTATAAAGTAGACCTTGAGGTCAACATCCACCAACATTTAAGCATGTTTGTTACATGCTTAAATGCAATCTTCAGAACTTTATATATACTCTATCCCTGATATTGAGTACTTTAAAAACCCATATATATTAAATGCATTTTTTTTCTCACTGGTAGCACAACTGAGTTTCATGCACAAATCAATTGTCAGGTGCTTTTGTAAATCTAAC